TACATAGGGGTCTCATGCTGTTGACATCATCCCGATTAATAAAAACAGAATAAAGGCAGACTCATTGACCACTCGTTAATCCTGTGTGAGGGCACATTTGAACAGTAATGGTTTAACTAAATATTTTTACACTGTCTTATTTTGAAGAGAAGCACTTTCACTCTTCTTTGTCTCACCATTTTGAAAGCTAGCCTCATTGCTCCCACACAAACAGACCTGTCTATTCTGCACATCATGAGTGAAACTCTAGCTCCACACAACTAAATGGGAGAACTCAACTGACTTACATGGAACCAATATTTCACCTCTAATGCCTCAGACTTCTCTAACTACTTTCCCTTGAACATGTCAGAAAAGAACAAATTCAACCACAGCTGCCCCCAACCCCACTAAAAGACTAAGGTGAGGCAGGAAGCCCCACAGCATCCTGCAAGGATCATTGCCCTAGTCCATTGTCAAAAGGGCTCACTACTGGCTGAAACTGTTGCATGTGTTGTAGTCCCAGGGTGGTCAACCTGCAAGTTGTGTTTCACAAGTGGTACAAGTGGCCTCTGTGTGTGGCACGTGGCAGATTAGAAAAGGGACATTTCTTTGGCTTTTTTAACAAACTTTAAAAATGGATTCTCCTTTCAAGCGGAAAACCGTGGGAAACCGTGGGTCTTCCCTTGCAGGTTGGCAGAGTACCCTTCCTGGCTGCTTGGGGGTTGGAGGCAAGGGGCACTGGGTCAGGAGCAAGGGGCACTGGGTTGGGACTGGCCATCAATTTTTACAAATGGGTCCTGGTACAGAAAAGGTTAAGAAATATTAAGTTAGGGAACACAGCACAGGAACCAGAAAGCAGAGCAGCTGATCTGGCAGGGAAAGGGGACTGCAGTGGCACTGGGGGAGGTGCAGGGCTAATTCATGGCATGCCTGCCAAAGACATTGGCTCCCACTGTTGTAGTCCAAGCCTTCATGATGCAGGGGGGCAGGGGGAGAGGAAGAAGGGCATATCCCCTTGGACAAAGAGCCTTTAAACAGAATATTTGACAAAAATCTTAATGCTCTTTAAAGAATATTCAGATTATCATAGAAATTCTTTATGCTGTTCCACAAGTTGCACAAACAAACACTGAGATGACCTTAGTAAGGGCTTAAGTATTGGTTTCATCTAACAGTAAATAAAAGGAGCAAATTCAAATATTGTGTCATTTCAGATTCAAAAGATCACATTATAATTTTCTAAGAAATAAAGCAAAATTGAAGTAATCAGATAAAAAAGAAATAGTGGTACTGAGGAAAAGGGGGCCCTTCATCTCACAATACAATTTTGTTATGCTTACATTTAACTAAATAAGAATCTCACTCATTAGTTTTCTTTCTCTGGTTTTCCAACCCATGAAGAATCTCCCACAACTCGCAGAACTGGAAGTCACGGCAACTGTCATCTCTCATCCAGCCTGCTCTTCCAACAAGGGCTTACAAGCCCATAAAGTGGTATTTCTTTGATGTTAGACAGAGGAAAGGGAAATGAGTTAGCCACTGTTTGGTAGGAGTTAAAATTGTACTGCAGACGGAGAAAGAGCCAACTCCTGAGAGAGAGGGAATTCAAACAGCCACTAAGAAGTATGTTAACTGTGGTTTTGTTCACCACAAAGAACCTATTCTTTGGCTTTTTAATTTTTGTCATTCTAGGCTTTCTCTGGAGCCAGTTTATTTAACCACTGCTATAAGACCATCCTCTTCATTTTCAGAAAATTACAGTCTGTTCTGGCAATACAATAAATAAAAACCTCTGGGTTTTATTGGCTCTTTGTCATCAGCTTTGTAAAGCTGATACACAGTCCTGTTTCAAAGCTGTGGCAACACACTTCAGTTCTTTGCAGGAAGTCCTGTCTCTACTCTGAAATACATTTGTCTGGGTATTTCATCAAATTAAGTTCGCGTGAATGGCAAATAAATTTGTTACAACAACATTATGAGCTCTTCATGAGAGTTTATTTCTCTAGATTTCTATTCCTCTTTTTCACTGCCCAAAACTTTTCCTGTTACTACAGGATATTCCTCTATTGAAAGAAACAGATATGCAAACACACACCTTATACACTTGATTTATCCAGACAAAAAACATGGATGGATCCAAGACCTTTTTTCTTTTCATTTTTTGAGATAATTACGGAAGTCACTCAAAAGAAGAAGGAGAAAATAACATTTTATTGTTGGATTTTACTATTTTTCTTATACAATGATTTCTTGAAGGCTGAACTGGAATCCAGTAGACTATGTTATAGATATACCACAAGGCCATCTTCAACTGAGAGTGAAGCTGGCAAGTTGATGGGAATGAAAGAGTTAACTTTAGAATACAATACATGGAGTTGATCCTCCACCCCATCCTACCACAAACACACACGTGTCTCTACCATAAGGACATGGATAGGCTGGATAACTCAACATGAAGGGCCAGTTCCTAGTTTAACTATTCAGCATTTAAGTGTAATCCACATTACCTGGATCTTTGAAAATCTAATGAACCTTCATCCTGTCCTTAAAAGGAAGCTACAAAAGGTGGAGAGGAGGAAAGGACCCACCCACACTGTACTCTGATGGTTTTTCAGGATAGAATAGGATGACTCCTAGATATTTACACCCAAAAGTGCTACTTAGATGCCTAGTAGGTGGAATAAGATCTGGCCTTCAGTGTTCCATCTTTGGATGAAAGAGCCAGGACTAATTCTTCAATGACTGTACTTTTCCATTAACGATTAATGCATCTGGATTATAGAATTTTTGGCCACTTATCACAGAGGTAACACAAATATGAAGTTTCAATCACTGAAATTATACATTTTACAAGGTGAAAATTCACATGAGAAAAATGGAAATAGCAAGTCATCAGAAAAAGTCCCAGAGTCCAGGAATTTTTCAATGAAATTCAAAAGGGAATGTTTACCCAACCCCAAACTTTTTAAGCCTAAAGGAAATGCTATTTTTAATTCTTTGATATCTTTTCCTTTCCCTTTGGGTAGCAAATGCAAAGTACAATTGTTGGTTTATCCTCAGTTGGCAAATACTAAGGCAGTTTAGACCTGATAGGTTCTCAATATGTTTTACAAAAACTGTGAAAGTATTCTTTCTACTCATGGACATATTAGTGTGTCACACTCGATCAGGTGTGGTCAGGGATGATATAGTACCAGTCACATCAGGCTCCCTCAGCTTGAATGGCCCATGTGCACCCTGTCAAAATACTGTTTATATTACTACTAGTTCTAACAACTTCATTAATTGTAAAAGAGAGATCACAGGCTTCGATTCTCAGTAACATAGGACTCTTCCATGTTTACTGATCACAAACAAGCCTAGGCATTAACATCATGCCCCATTCAGGCACAGCACTAGCCTGATCATCTGCAAGCAGCATAAAACACAGCCTCAGTGCAAAGAATTTAGGGTTTCCAAGCCCCATTTATATATCGATCCAAACAATGCCATGCTTACAGCACACGTCATAGTTCTCATAAAATATGGAAACATCTTTAAGTGACATCATTCGCATCTGGTTCTCACCTGACATCGCACCAGATATTGCGACCTTCTCATCAGATAGGGAAATGTGCTTACCAGGTCACTCTGATCTCTGTTTTGATGTCTTGGGCCCATTTTATCCATTGTTTTCCATCTGTTGACCTTCTGAACTGCTCAAAATATGCCTAGTTTTTCCAACATTTCTGCTTAGCCCATGTAAAGTCTATTTTCCAGCCATCGAGGTCTATTGCTCAGGCTGTTACTGAGGCTTTCTTTGGTTCATGCTGTTAACAGGCCTCTTTACAATTACTATACGTGCTGGTCAATGGTTGTATTAATCCATACTCCACCAAGGACTACACAGAGTTAATGTTTATTATTCTCATTCATTAATACACTTATGGGCTCAGAACAAAGAAAAGGTTCTTTTCTTTTCTTAAAGGAACATCAATTATTTGCACCTATTTTCTAAATAGTATGTGAAATCTTGGCCCCGTTTCAGGTTAACAGGAGTTTTACTACAGACTTCAATGAGGCCAGAATTTTGTCCTCTGATTTAAGCTTAAGCTCTTACTGAAATGAGTTTAAATATGAAATACTCAAGATTGTAATTTGCTCACTGTCACCTCACTAGACCACTGTCATGAATGTTCTTGGTACTATATGTAGCTCAAACACATTTAGTGTGTATAGGCCTAAGATCTGCAGATGTGCACTCCCATCATCAGGAAACCATAATATCATCTTCAGTAGATGATTTAAAAAATAAATATTTAGTCTGTCGGAAGCCAGCCTTCACTCTTGGAAAAACATGCATTTCCAAGCTTAAGAGTGGCATGAAAAGGGCCAGTCTCTACCAAAAGAGGGGTGAGAAGTCCAAAAGTGTCAGGTAAACAAATCTGTGTGGCAACAGCAAAAACATTTGTTTTCCACTTGCTCTTTGCGTTCCCACTCCTCCGTTGTTTGGATTGTCTCCAACATTAATAACTTGACTTTTCATGCCACTCTCAGCTTGGAAATACATTTGCCCATCACGATTTTTCTATCAAGCAGATACTGACCTTTTGTTCATATATTTAAATGGATTTACCTGTTAACATGGCATTTCCCCACTGTTCTCACTTACCGGTTTATCTTGAAGGCATGGGTCAGTTTGTATTTTTTATGAGTCAGATGTTAAACAACAAAGCAACCACGCATTCTGAGGAAACAATTAATTTATAATTAAAATAAAGTATCTGCTGGAAGTAGTGAGTTGAAAATAATGAAACTACCCCCCACCCAAGAAAAACCCTATTACATTTCAGGTGGTATTCTACCCCAGGTTCTTACGTTTTAAGGGGTAAAATAAAACCTTTTTCTACTGAAGCTTCTTCCATTTGCACAGCTTTGAAAAAGGCAGGAGAATGTATCAGGAGATGTATCTCCAGAAGAATATTAACATTGAGGGGACTCCATCAGGAACACCATTACAGTTCTTGTTATTTTTTCCCTAAAAAAAGTTAAATTCAAACTGGAAAATGTACCAAGAAAGGCTACTAGTATGAACAGGGGAAATGACAGCCCATCTCATTATAAGACAAAGTATGTCTATATAGAACACCACACAAGGGTATGCGTCTATACTATAATACATTTATGCTGCTTCTGTTTTTGGTATCAGAGCTAACTAGCACTTCACTGTCTTGATTCACCCTAAAAGACTGTACCTTGTTTAACAAAATGGGGGCTGAAAGGGGTGACACAACTGTTTTCAATAAACATATTGGGAAAAAAACCCACCAAGAAGGGAGAAGAGCTATTTTAAGAGGCTACAAAAGACAAATGTTGGCATAGAAAGAAACTGGACTTGAACAGGTTTTGGTTAGAAACCTAATTTACTCTTACCCAAAGAGTCAAATTTTGGAGCAGCCTTCCAAAAGGAGACTGAGTGAAATAAATGTGCCTAATTTTAATATTAGTGTCCCGGGGAAATAAAAACAGAGGTGCTAGAGCGGCCTCCCGCGGTGGGACCTGAGGCAGGGGCAACCTGTCCAAGGAAAGAAAGAAAGAGCCCTGAGAAGAGGGTGTACTTAATTCCTGCAGGGAAGGGAGAGCCACACCGAGAAGGGCCGCCGGTGCGGTTCGTGGGCCGCTTTTATTGCTGGCTGGTGGCGGTGCCAGCGGATGACATCACAAAGACCTGCCACCCAGCGGATTCAAAAGCTGGCGGTGAAGGGATGGCGGAGGAGACAGAAGGGACGTTGGGGCGTGAAGTTGCTCTCCAGCCAACATCCCAGGAAGACCTGCAGCCCTGGTAGGGGCGGCACAGAGACCCTCTGAAAGGGTCTCACCCACACTGGGGAGAAGGGACGACGTCGAGGGATTGAAGAGGATCACGGACATCGGACCCGTGAGTGGGGTGGGCAGAAGCTCACACCCAGATTCTTTCATTATTTTCTTTTTCCTTTTGTCCCACTTTGATTTTGGAGGGACCTGGAGTTATGACTAAAGGAAGACCCTCCACGGGTCCAGGGTCACAACGGAAGATCTGGGAAGAATTGATAGGAGCTTTGGAGGAAGGTCAGGCACTAAGGCGGGGACAATCATACGCCTCTCGGCCGTCCGAGATAGGCAAATCGGGGAACAGGGTGACGACCCACCAGCCAACAATCCGGAGGGCTGGCACATGGCTGGGGTGTAGGGGAGGTGGAGCCCCATGACATCTCCAGCAGGTAGTATCCGGAACAGCAGGAAACCCTAGGAAGGAGCGCCCCCACCACTGAAAAGGAGAAGACCAAGTCGTGGCAGGCGAGTGCCGGGCTTCCCTCAGGGTGGAGCGTGACCTAATATCTCAGTTTCAGGAACATACCCCTCGGCCGGAGTCGAGTGAACACTTGAAGGCCACCCGAGAGTGCCTGTATGAGGCCAGATGGAGGCAATTAGTTTTAATTTTCTTATGTTAAACCACCTGAAAACCCAAGGTAAAAAATAAAAACACAAGCTGCTGATAGATTTGCAATTAAAGGTAGATCCCCAGTCCCATCAATTGTGCCTTCATGCCATGCCATGAAATTTCCTTTACTGAATGTGTGGCTGGTGCGCATCAGGGGCTAAGAGTACTGATCAGCCAATCAGCCTCGAAGGGCTTCAGTGAGCTCCGCACTCCCAGCCTTGGGAGCACACTGGAGCCTTGAAGGCTGATTGGCTGATCAGCACTCCTACCCCAGGAGCACACCCAAATCTTGAAGGGCTGTTGTGTGCTCCCCAGGCTGGGAGCACCCATCAGCTGATGGCTCAGAACACACCAGCCACACATTAAATTTAAGGCAGGATGGGAACAAGCCACAAAATTATTACATATATTTTGTGTAATAATTTTGTGGCTTGTTAAGTATTAATCACATTTTAAGCATAACATCTGTGGGGTCACACACATGCACACATGCCCCCTTTTATAAGGGTATATAACATGGTGTTAATAGCTGCATTTACATTGTGCTGGAAATTCAGATTCTGATTTAAACATTACCAATATTATTATGTTACTAACATGCTGTATGCATTCCAGTACGAAAATGCAATGGGGATTAATTTTCTTTATGCCTCCAGGTGTCCAAAATAATGTAAAGGCTTTCTGTACATTCAGTTGGGAAGAAATAACAGTGTCTTAATCTTTAATCAGACAAATCACCTCCATGTTTGACAATGTTTTAACTTGTTAAAATAATGTTTAAAGAAAAATAAACATGTATCCATTGAAGTCATTCTAGACCAAAGACTAAAAAATACAAAACAGAGATGAAGGATTTTAGTTTTGGACATCAGTAGGTTTGCTTTCTTATGCAAAATTTATAGAAAAAAGGGTTATCTGTAGAACCATCTATTCCAGGGATCAGCAACCCCTGGCATGCATGCCAGACCATGGCATGCAAAGCCATTTTGCTTGGCACACTACAGGCAGCCCAGGCTCTGGGCAGCTGCTGCTGGCCATGGAGCCCAGGCCACTTGCAGCAGGAGGTTGGAAGGCTGTACACTCTGCTGCAAGCAGCCTGGGCTCCATGGCGGGCAGCAACTTCCCAGAGCTCTCTCCAGATGTGGAAGGTAGCCAAGAGGTTGCAAACAGATGCATTGGGCTCTGGAGCCCCGACACTGACAGCAGCTGCACAAATGCTTAAAAGTACATGGCAGGGAAGAGGCTGGGGCTGTGCAACAGTGGTCCCTCCCCCACTGTAAACCCAGAGATGCATGTGCAGCTGCTGCCAATAATGAGTTGAGCCAGGGCTCAGCCTACCTCAGTGCATATGTTTGCAGCCTCCCTGCTACCTGCTGCGAGCAGCCCAGGTTCTGTGGAGGGCAGCAGGGGCTTGCTAGAGTCCAGGCTGGCTGTGGCAGGCAGCTGGGAGGCTGCAAGCTGCTGCACTGAGGTCTGCAGAGCCCCTTCTTGGCTCTCTGCTGGCAGGGGATGGTCCAGGGTTGCGCTGCCCCGGGCCCTTCCCTGCCATGTGCATTGAGGTGCACATGCAGCCACTACCAGCCATGGAACAGGGCCAGGACTGCAGACCCTGGTGTAGCTGTTTGCAGCCTGTCTGCTGCCTGCTGCAAGCCCGGCCTCCATGGCCAGTGGCAGCTGCACATGCTCCTCAGGGTGCACAGTGGGAAAAGAGCAGGGGTAGCACAAACCCAGCCGCTACCCCACTGTCTGCCTGGAGGCATCCATGCACCCACCACCAGCAATGAGGATCAGACCCCTCACAGCTCCACACCCTCCCCTGCGCCCCCCACCCCATCTGCCCCTGGCATGCCAAGTCAAGGCATGGGCTGAGGTTGGGGTATTTTTGGTACTCTGGCCAAAAATGTTACCAACCCCGATCTATTCTGTGAGACAAACCTAAAAGTTCCTTAGATGCCGCTAGGGACAGAGAAGAGGAGGAAAGAATGTCACTTAGTGAGGGAAGAATAATTTTAAGCGATTCCCAGTGAGATGAATTTATATGTTCACACAAACTGCATTCAAACCATCATACAAGACTGATCTCATTGACCATAATGACATTACCACTCTGTACCACGGTGGAGTCTAGTGGTGGCCATGATGTTCCCTGGTGGCCCCATGACTATGGCCTGCTCTGTGCCTTCCTGTCTTTCCTGCCATGCCTTGATGGTATAATAAATAAGGAGGTAGCCTTTGTGTGGCCCCAGTTTCACTGAACCCTGCCCCCCTGCTAGGGTCTCCAGCACCATAGTTGTCCTCACTGGTACTCGGGTCCCTTGCTGGGCCACTCAGTTTAACTGTGCTCTGCAGGGCACCCAAAGCCTTAAGGGTTACTTCCACGGCTCCAAATCCTGCCTTTTACTAGGCCCCATGCCTCACAGGTGTTACTCTAATGGTGTTCCCTCGGTTGGGGCTTCGGCTCCTGGGCCTCTGCCACTTTAATCTCGCTAGGCCTTCTAGCCTAGGTCCACTGCATCAGACCTGGCTTTGTGGTACTAGCTTCAATCTATGACCTTTGGTCACCAGGCCCCTAGCCCCTGTGTGGCTGCACACCTCCATAATGCTTTTGGACAATTATGCATGCATTGCTGAGACAGCTGGCAGGAATTGGCTGCAGCAATTGGCTGCAGGCTCTGCCTCCTTAGGCAAGAAGGGAGCTGCCACCACCTCAGGCAGGCAAGCGGGAGCCCTGCTGCTCTGCGGGAGGAGGTAGAGGCAGAGGTGGGAGATGGGGAAGGAGGAGTCACCACCACTGTTGCCTCCTCAGGCAGAGAGAAGCCCTGCTAATCTGCGGGAGAAGGCAGAGGCTGGTGGGCAGGGGAAAGGGAGCCACTGCCACCGCTACCACTGCCTCAGGTCGGGGGAAGCCCTGCTGCTCCGCAGGAGGAGGCAGAAGTAGGAGGGGGGGGAGGGAGCCACCATGCTGGAGGAGGCGGCGGTGGTGGCAAAGGGACTGTTTACATGGGCGGCCCCGAAGGGTAAGCGAGGGCAGGTGGGGAGGGCATGTAAATACCCCCTTAAACCCTCTGTCAATGACAGCCAATTTGCTAGTGTATAATATAGATGTGGAACTCATTGCCATAAGATGCTGGAGGCCAAGAATGTTAACTAGGTTCAATACTTTCTCTGACAGAGGCTATTAAACACAAGTTAGGGATGTAACCTATTCATAATGTTTGGGA